GAAAGGGCGAACATATTTGGTGTGACGGGGATTCGAGCCTGCGACCCGCAGATGGCGAGTCGAGCGCCATAACCACCTGGCCATGCAGGGCAGAAATATTTTAACATCTCCAATACTGTAAGAGAGTAGAAAAGTATGATCGACATACTTTCTGTATAAAGTTAGTTTCTGTTTCGTGGGGCACTTGTTTAGCCAGAGAAGCTCATCGTGACATAGATATATGTCTAGTAATGTCGATTCTAAAGTCAACCCCATCGCCATGTCATAGAGTTAACCTTTAAAGACAAAGTGCTTGTCTTTAAGGACAAACTTCAATAGCTGGTCAAGTTGTTGGTGGTTAAGAGAAATGTATAGTTCGCTTTCATTGCGGAAGAAATTGTTTAGAATTATTTGAATTGTTTTTTAAGTTAAACCCCACTGACTAAGGTTTGTTTTGAATTTCGCTAAAAGCTACACGAAGGCTATCTGCGCTAGCCGTCCCTACTTTAGCAATGAAAGACTAGAAGGAAGGCAGCTAGTCATCACCACTCACCGCCACCTCTTGGACTATTTTTTTACCAACGAATAGTGAGATTGACCGTTATATTATAACGCCCCCACGACTGAAAAGGCGAGCATGTTTGGTGGAAGGGGGATTCGAACCCGCGACCCTCAGATTGCGAGTCAAGCACCCTAACCATCTAGCCATGCCGGGCCCCACTGACTAGGGATCGAATGTCAAAGCTAGATATTATATACCGATCAGTATTATGGATTTTAGAAATTTCCTGGGCAAAAGAAAAAGTATCTTTAACAACAAATTCGTTGACGACTGAACTTAAAATGGAAACAAGAAACTTGGCTAGTTTGTACGTATGAGACTCAATAGTTTTTGTAAACTTTAGGTAGGCCATACATAATACCAGGGCGGGAATCAGAGAAGTAACTTACATCAAAGGTATCGCTGAAACTTTTTAAAACTTCTCAAAACAAGTTGTAATTTTTTTTCCAGTTTGATGGCAAGTTCCGGTAAAAGGGGGCTGAAATGCTTACAATTTTGTTTTATGATTAACAATACATTCCATTTTATTAGTGTAATAAGGTTTGTTTAAAATAGTAATGCTTGTGCCTTTGTGAAGTCGAATTACAATAAATTATTTGCCAGGAGTCTTTTAAGGCAGTAAATTCTTCATGAGTGATGGTAGGAGATACTTAATGAGAAGCTTAGTTATAGAATGAAGATAAAACAACACTTTCAGTCTTAGTTTTTGTTCAATGCTGACCTCATTTGATAAAGCTCTAGCTGTACGCTGCTAATCAGTATTCTCTTTCATAGCAACTTGATTTCATCATTTATCCTAGGTAGATTCTAAAAGTTCATTGAATCACGGGGTGAGTCACGCTTACTCAGGAAATACATAAGCTCTTCTAAGCTAATGAACAGCAACCGATTTGCGTGTTCTATTATACGAACTTTAAATCGTGCAGTAGTCGACCTTCTCTACCCTACATAGAGTTCAAGTAAACTGAAATTAAATGCACACCACTCTGTCTGTAGAGTCGATTGTTGGAGACAAAGTGTTTTTAATTGCCTAGATCTATATAACAATAGCAACAACAAGAATGAATAATTTTACATTATATGTTCAGTATATGAACTTATATATGTATATATATTTATTTATTGTTAAATATTAATCACAGAAAACATATAAATTGATTATATCAAATGGTTTGGAAAGCTTTGTAATTCTGCTTGCAGTTAAGAAATAACACAAGCAGTACAGAACAGATTGAAATTCATTTTCTGTTATAAATGTGCTTACACAATAAGTGCCAATGAAGTCATGCTTTTATTTTTTTCCTTTAAAAAAAGAAGTTTTGAACTGGTTGTTGGTTGCCATACGAAATTTTTGTATTGTCTTTTGCTTGTTACGATTGGAAACAATCAAATAGTGCTGCTGTTGAAAGTTTTTTGTTAAGAGCAAAGCTACACAATGGGCTATCAGTGTTGTGCACACCACGGTTATCGAAACCCGGGTTTTAACGTTCTAAGCCTACAGACTTACCGTTGTACCTGGCCAGGTGGTTATGGCGCTCGACTTGCAATCTGCGGGTCGTGGGCTCGAATACCCGTCCCACCAAACATGTTCGCCCTTACAGCCTTGGGGGCGTTATAATGTGACGGTCAATCCAACTATTCGTTGGTACAGGAGTAACTCAAGAGTTGGCGGTGGATGGTGATGACTAGCTGCCTTCCCTCTACTTGCTAAATTAGGGACGGCTAGCGTAGGTAGCCCTCGTGTAGCTTTGCACGAAATTCATAGCAAAACACAACAAACAAACCGTTGTGCTACAGGAGGGCCACAGTTGAAGGAATTATCACTTGATATACAATGTAACGACTGTTGCCTTTTATAAGCTTACCCAATCTTCTCGTCAATAATATATCAACTTTGGCAGCTAGTATTTTTTTCATTAACAGTCTTGTTCTCTTTCCATTGCATCTGTTTATAGACTGTGATGTTAGATGCTTTTGAATAGATTAACAAAAAA